AGGAAAATGAAGATGTAATGTGAAAGAGTAATAAGAAGTTGAGGTAGAGTGGTGAACACACAATGCAATATATAGATGATGCACTATAGAATTGTACAATTTTCAAACTATATAATTTTACTAACCAATGTCACCCCAATAAATTTAATAAAAAATATTTTTTTAAAAAGAAAGAATTTGAGGCAAAACCAACAGGATTCTCGTCAAGATCAGAGATCAGCAAAATGAAGAAAATAAAGAGAAAAGAGTATAGCCAGGAAACCCACTGAGAACTTGCTAAATTGTGGTGCCTGAAGCTTTGGAAATCTGGTTTGATTATTTGCCCCTGTGATGATCTGATAATTATATCAAAAAGCATATTAAGAACTTACCTGTGTATTTTTATTACAAGGTACCTTTATCTTCAAATTAGTTTATCCTCTAACTTATCAGGTGCCTGATTATAATTATAATAGCATAGGTGAAATCCTTTCAGTCTGAATGATCTCATGTATAGCCTATGTGTCTGTTCATTGATGGTGATGACTAAATGTCCAGGAGAATGAGATTCATCAAGATATCAGTAGTTATTTTCCAGATATAGCCATAATCTTTTGTGACCTCTCACAACCTAAGAGTATGTAGGGTACATTTTTATTGGTATGGAGTCATAAGATACAGAGTCTGAGGGGACCCCAGATGAGAGCCTGTTTAAAACAAGAGGGTTGTGAGATGAATGTATATATATTTTTTACTGCATTTGATAATCCTATTTTGTTCAGTGTGTAGAGCCTGGCCTTGTAGTATGACTCAGAGGTTGATTTCTGAGCCTCTGAAGAGCTTTAACAAGTGATTGAATCTTAATTATTCCTCCACATACTAATACATTTCCATAACACCTCATGTCTGCAAACAACCTCCTCATTTTTCCAAGAACCTGAATAGTGATCCAATAGTCATCTGTAACTCCTGCTTTTCTCTTATGCTTTTGAGGCTCACTGATTTTTCCTTGTCCATAACTATTTTTATCACCCCATTTTCCCCATGTCATTGCTTCCGACATTGCCTGATTCCTCACCTATGAAGCTATTTTTTCACAAGAGCTACTCCGTGGTTTTTCAAACATTTATTCTCGTGTTCTCGCAGATATTAATTCAGCAACTCTTTGTTGAACACCTACATGTCATAATTGTTCTAAATACTGGGGACTTAAGATCAATGAGGAAGAGAAAAAAACTTTTTCCTTAACACTTATGACTTAGAGGAGAAGATACAGAAAATGAATAAGTAAGCGAATTAACAACATAATTTCAGATATTATCACCTGCTATGAAGAAAATTAATATCTGGGCTTAATGAAAGAGGAGCATGATTACATCAGGAATAGTCTCTCTCAGGAGGTAGTATGCGAGCTGGGGCCAGAATGAATAGAAGGAATCTACCACGGGAAAATATTGGGACAGAAAGTCTCAAAGTTGAAATAGTGATTCCAAACATCTGAAGAAGGTAAGCAAACATTTGATATGCTAGAGATATGAATAATGGATGAATGTGGTTGATATGTACATAGTAAAGGTGAGACTGGCAGGAAATACTGTTGCAGAGGAAGTGTAATCCTTATAAATTAGAATTTGTCTTCAGTGCTAAGGAGTGAGAAGCCATTTTGGGATTTTAATCCTGGTAATGACATAATCTCTAAACCCTCTGTACTCTTAGCTAAATTAATATTCTAAGAATATCCTGTTCACCACAGCATTATTTTGCTCAGGTGGCTTTTATTACCTATCAACAATAATTAGTCATCCTTTAATCTGTTAAAGATCTGAGTCATCCAGGCTTGTGTGTATGCATGTGTGAGTGTGTGTGTGTGTGTGTGTGTGTAATTATAAAGTTATTCCCAATTAAGTTGTCTTAAACAGACTAAATCTAGATTCCTAAGGGATAAAGAATGTATCCTTTGTCCACCATCATCACCATGCTTGACTCCTTGACATTTAGATTCAGGTTAATAGCTGAGGGGCAACAAAGAAGAGAATAGGTTGATAGATTTAAAATGTATGTTGCTCTCATATGAAATAAGTCAGTCAGAGAAAGACAAATACCATGTGATTTCACTTATATGTGGAATCTAAAAAACTGAATAAATGAGAAATGTAAACAGAAATAGTCTCAGAGACACAGAGGAAAAACTGAGGGTTGCTAGTTGGGAGGGGGTGGGGATGAAGGAGAAGGGGAAGGGACGAGACAATACAAATTGGTAACTACAATATGGCCTCAGGGATAGAAAAGACAGCCTAGGGACTATAATCAATAATGTTGTAAATAGTTTTTAGGGGGCCAGATGGACTCATGTCTTGTTAGGGAGACCACTTCATAGATGGTGTAGAAGCCTGACCACTGCACTGTATTTCTGAAGCTAATGTTGAATAATAATGTATGTCAACTATAATTACATATACATATAGTCACGGGATTTGGAGTAGAATGTGTGAATGAAGTCAATGGAATTGTAATAGACAAGTATGATATCGGGGGTGGGAGGACAGTGGATGGGGGGAGGGGGGTTGTTACTTTGTGAGGGGTGAAAAGGATAATTATTGCATTGTTCTGTACACCTGAAACTAATAATTAAAAAAGTAGCTCTCACATATTCAATAATAAAATAACCATTTTCATCTCAAAAAATAAATCAAATAAATAAATAAATAAATAAATAAATAAATAAATAAATAAATAAATAAATAAAGTAAAATGTATGTTCCTCTCATTCATTGACTGACTGACTGGGTAAAAAGGTTTAGTGCTATGAATAGCCTCTGTTTAGGAGCATAATGAGAGACAATAGGGCTCAGAGAGACCAGTGCTGTTGACAGCCAGCAACTATGATAATCGATGGTTTCTCATCCCTATTGTGGAGACATAGGTCAATTTAGAAGGTAATTCACAGGACAAATTCTCATCAATGTGTGAGGAAAATTAAGTGCTTAAAAGGGTTAAATTTGTCAAGATGTGATACTCAGACTTATAAAGTGTGAAAGTCTGAAGCCTTGACATGAAAGTTTGACTCAAGGCCTGAAGGTCAAGACTTCCTGAGCAACCTAGCAATAACTTCCTTAAGAGTGATTCAGTTAATGCCATTCTTACACAAGGATCCCCAGGTCAGTAAATGGCCTCTTCCTGTTAGATTTACCCAGGCTGAGAGCTTTTAATCGTCTACCACAACCTCCTTCCTTCTTATCTACCCCAGTCAACTAGATACAGTGCCCTCGCTCTACCTTTGCTCGTCTTTCCCTTTTTGCAGACCTTACTGCTCTTCTTCAGTTTAGGCCATTATGTCTGATCTTCTGAATTAGCATCCATGTCTAGTCTCTGCAATTTTGAATTCAATTTGTGTGCATTAAGCATTTCCCCCCTCAATCCTATTCCTTGGGTCATTTAAAATTCTAAAAATATTTACTGTTTACTCTTGTCAATAGCATAGTAATAAGTTTTTAATATATTCAGGGCCTTGCATTATCTAGTCTTTTCTAATACTCTGCGTACATCTTACTCTTTCCTCTACTTCCAGAGAGCTATTTCCATGCAAGTCACCAAGCCCTAGCTTGCTCATTTTATTTTTATTTATTTATTTATTTTAATAAATAGCATATGTAATTTTTTTTAAAGATTTTTATTGAGGAATTGGGAGGTTGGGAACAGTGCTGGGGAATTGGGGGAAGGGGAACAGACAAGCTGCTGTCGTCTTGTTCTTCAGTCTAGTTGTGGAGGATGTCGCCCCACTGGCCCAAGTTGGTAC